GGCTTACAGAGAAACTCTTGCTTCTCTTGCTGAGTGCTCTTTCTTGTTTGAATTTCTTCCTTCTGATCTAACTCGTCTCTTGTTAGGTATTATTAATCCAATTGAGGCCAAGCAAAGAAAAGGCAAAGGAGCTGTGGGAGCATATGGCTCTGAAAGAACCAGCCAGTCTTTGCAAGACTTCCCTGTTGTTGACTCGGAAGAAGAAGCTGAAGAGGTACTTGTATTCCTGGTACATCCGTTTATCCTGTTGTGTTGTGCAAACAAAATTCAGTTCTAGTATCTAGCTTTTGTGTTAGAGGAAATTGATCTACTTTTAGATAAGAAACGAAAAACACAAAGCATGAATTTCACTTAGACATTTTCATGTTACTTAATGTCCTTTATGTTGATTCTGCCTCACTTTATTCTAGTAGCATTGCTAGAATCCCATCCTCAGTTTCCCCCAGATAAGTAATTTGTCTTTTGTTTAAAAAAAGAAAGATAAGAAACACACTGATAGTGATAACGTTGAGAAAAGGCTTTTTGACTGGACCACAGCATTTGAGCCAGTTTTTGCTCTGCTTTGTCACTTTCCCTTTTGTTCTGCTGCATAGCATTCTTCATTGATCTGCTGATTGTTTTTTCATAGAAAACAGACAAATTTGAGGCAAGACTGAGAACAGCAATAGCAATTTCTCCTTGTTGTTATTTAGGAATTTCAAAAAGAACTCAGTCAGTGGCGGAAGGATCCTAATGGAGGCAAGAAAAAGCCCAAATACAGCTATAAAACAGTAGAAGAACTGAAAGCCAAGGGTAGGATTAACAAACAGCTTTCAACCCCTCAGAAGGAGCTCTCTCAAGTCAAGGTAAGGCTGATAAACCAAGTGATGGCATCTCTGGGAAGCAATTCAATTAGTTTGCATTAGTGTTGAGTGCTTTTAGGCAATTGGTTACCTTAACAGAAGCTAGTTCTAACAATTGTTGTCCATAGCCTCATGCAAATCAAGGCTTCAGATAGATTACTGAATCATTTATTAGACGACAACATAGCCTGCAACATTGGACTTGTCCTCGAGGAACATCTTGATCTTGAGAAAATTAGTTTTCTAGAAGATTAGTTTTCTTGTTAGTTTGCTTTTGTAAGTTAATTGTTTCACATTTGTCATAGCTCGCCCAATTCTGTAAGCGCATCTGTCCTTATTGGGACTGTGCAACTAAACATACAGTACTTTTTAGGTAGAAGAGCTTTCAGACTGTAAAGAACTTGTCTTTAATGCTCTTAATGAAGTTACTCATTTAAATTGACAAGTCTATAAAAAAGTATAAAATTACCTAAGACTTCTTTGCAGTTGTGAGTAATTGCTGTTCTTAGATTAACTCAGCAAAATGGTAAAACTGAGATCAGAGGTAGAATCTTTGAGCTCTGACCTCAAATTGTTCTTCATTTACTCTAAATCTTTGCATCAGGAGCAGGCCTTTTCAGTGGTGCTCTCAGGCTGCCCCATTCAAAACCAGATTTTATTACTAGCCTGCTGGAGTAGTTGGAAATCTCCAATTTTCAAATTGGAACAAGGTATTTCCTCTTTTTAAACATTAATTGCACTTTTTAAGACAACTTTTTTTCTTGTTTGTTGGAAGGTTATAGATATGACGGGCCGGGAGCAAAAGGTTTATTACAGCTACAGTCAAATTAGCCACAAACACAATATCCCTGATGACAATCCTCAGCAGCTGCTGGGCAAAGACTCTAAGCCCCAGGGATTTGCCCTACCTGAGCTGGAGCACAACTTGCAGCTTCTCATTGACATCACGGAGCAGGAGATCATCCAGAGCGACCGTCAGCTGCAGTATGAGAGAGACATGGTAGTCAACCTAACCCATGAGATACAGAAGATGTCTGAAATTCTCTCGCATGAGGAGACAGCAATTAGCAATCTCAGCAAAGTCCTGGACATGGTGGAAGAGTGTGAGAGACGGATGCAACCCAGTTGTGAAAATCCTTTGACCTTGGATGAGTGTGCAAAGATTTTTGAGACACTTCAAGACAAGTACTATGAAGAGTACAGAATGTCTGATAGGGTAGACTTGGCAGTAGCAATAGTCTATCCTCTCATGAAAGATTACTTCAAGAACTGGGATCCCCTCAAGGTGAATATTAGTGTGATTTATCTGCAGTTCCCTTTTGATGGTATAAGTTATTTTATTGTCTTGCCTTCTCCTCTCCTTGCCCAAATTTCTTGATTAGTTGGGAGAGGAAATGAAAAAAGCCACCTTTCCTCACACATGAGAGCAGAAGAGAAAGCTCCAGATAAAACCCTGTGTTTATGCCATAGTGAGATAAATGTGAGAAAGCTGCCTGTAGCAGAGCCTGCTCTTTGTAGATATCAGCTGAAATGAATGAAAATTCATTAAGTCCACCTACCATTTAACCTTATCATTTCCAGGACTGTACATATGGCACAGAGATTATAGCCAAGTGGAAGAGCCTTTTGGAAAACGACCAGCTGTTATCACATGGTGGGCAGGACCTATCAACAGATGCTTTTCACAGGTAAAGAACAAATTAATTGTACTTTGTTTAGTATCTTTAAATGCTGCTTCCTCCACGAGTGTGAAGAGCAGTTAAAAGTGTACTTTCCAGATAATTCTTTTCAGATGTCTCTTAAAATCCAGCTGTCAGCAATATAAAAGGAAGAGGCTTTTAAATAACGGTTATCCATTCAGTTTTCCTAGGCCTGAGGCTTGAGTTTTAACCTTAGCTTTGATTTCTTTATTTTTTCCAGACTGATGTGGGAAATCTGGATGCCGTATGTCAGAAACATAGTGGCACAGTGGCAGCCAAGGAACTGTGGATCAATGGTGGATTTCCTGGATAGTTGGGTACACATCATTCCTGTGTGGATACTGGATAATATTCTGGATCAGCTCATCTTCCCCAAGCTACAGAAAGAGGTTGGTTAAGAGAGCTGTATTAGAATGAAACCTTATTTTGAACCGCTATTTGAATTTTAGTCAACTTGCTGCTTCCACAATACCAGTTTGTTGCCCTTGCCAACGTATTTTTGAGTTAGGGGGTTATTTGCATCTGGGAAGACTTTGTGCCAGTAGAAAATTAAATCTCTTCTGTGTTTTGCCTTAAGGTTGAAAACTGGAATCCTTTGACAGACACAGTCCCAATCCATTCCTGGATCCATCCCTGGCTTCCCCTGATGCAGGCACGATTGGAACCACTTTATTCTCCCATCAGAAACAAGCTGGCGAACGCACTGCAGAAATGGCATCCCAGTGACTCCTCAGCCAAACTTATCCTTCAGCCCTGGAAGGATGTGTTCACACCCGGGTCATGGGAGGCTTTCATGGTCAAGAACATTGTGCCTAAACTCGGTGAGACAAGGGAGAGGCATTTTAATTCTTTCACCTATGCTAATGCTTTCATTGTGAGATTTGCAATTCCTCATTTAGCTCTGCAATCTGGCTAACAGGCTCTGGTACAAAAAAAAAAAAAAAAAAAAAAGCTGAATGTTTTAAGTTTCTCAGTTTTGGCTGTAAATTGTAATTGAGGGAAATTGAATTGGTACTGTTTTGGTGGCAGGGATCAGCCAAACATTTTAAAGATCCTGCAGGTAATACAGTGCAATACAGTTGCTCCTCACGTATACATCATTATGAGATAGGTCAGGGCACTGGTAAGTCAGGTACTTCTGTAACTGTTCTTCCCCTTTTTCCAGGAATGTGTTTGAATGAACTTATAATAAACCCTCATCAGCAGCACATGGATGCCTTCTACTGGGTGATTGACTGGGAGGGAATGATTTCTGTTTCTAGTCTTGTTGGGCTGCTAGAGAAACACTTCTTCCCAAAATGGCTGCAGGTGAGGAACAAGGCTGAGTAATTTCAGACAGATGTGATTCAGAGTGAAGTGTTTCAGTGACTCTGACCTAATAATAAGGACTTCCATAAATATACCTATCCTGTTGAATTTGTTCATGTTGTTTTGCAGGTGCTGTGCTCTTGGCTTAGTAATAGCCCCAATTACGAAGAGATCACGAAGTGGTACTTGGGCTGGAAGTCTATGTTCTCAGACCAAGTGTTGGCACATCCATCAATCAAAGACAAATTTAATGAAGCTCTTGATATCATGAACCGGGCTGTCTCTTCCAGTGTTGGTAGGTGGTTTATTGTGGTGTATTCGCTTTCATACTTTGTCAGTAACAGTGCAGCATCCTTTCCTGTGCATGCTCAGATTCAGTTTGGGACCGTATTAGGTCCTGTAACTTTAGCTACAGTTTTCTGATTCATCTAGGTAGTCTTTGTATTAACAGCAACATCGTAAATGCAAGCAATAAAAATGCGTGAAGGATGATTCAGAACACTATGGCTCAGTCTCACTGCATTTAATACCTTATGCATCTTGGACTGGAGTTTCCCCATGGACCTTGCATGTGGTTTTCACACATCTTTTTTCTCCCCAACAGGTGGCTACATGCAGCCAGGTGCCCGGGAGAACATTGCATACCTTACTCACACGGAGAGGAGGAAAGACTTCCAGTACGAAGCCATGCAGGAGCGGCGAGAGGCTGAGAACATGGCTCAGCGAGGCATAGGCATGGCTGCCAGCTCTGTGCCAATGAATTTTAAGGACCTAATTCAGACAAAAGCAGAGGAACACAACATTGTTTTCATGCCTGTGATCGGAAAACGACACGAAGGGAAGCAGTTATATACATTTGGACGGATTGTGATTTACATTGACAGAGGAGTTGTATTTGTACAAGGGGAAAAGACCTGGGTGCCAACCTCTCTCCAGAGTCTCATTGATATGGCCAAGTGAGGCTCCTGCTTGGAACTGTAAAGGTGATCTTACTAATATTTTTAGTGTAACTGTCTTAGAATAAAGACGTTACAGATTTGTGAATAGTGGTACTTCAGCTGTATGCCAGGATTGTTTTCTTGGCTGTTCCAATAGTGTCAAGAGGTGAAATGATACATGGAAGCTGGTGCAAAGGGAGGAACAAGCAGTTCTGATGCTTGTGTAATTGCCACTTGTGACACAGACTCAGCAATAATTGTTTCAAACCACTTGACAAATGAAGGCTAGAAGGGACTGCTGGCATTTGTTCTCTGCTCAAAGCAGGGCCAACAGCAGATCAGCCTCAAAGGCTCCACCAACAGATTCTCTCTTTGACAGCTGCACTGCCCTGGCAGCGATAATTACTGTCTCAATGGTGTCCTGCACACAGCAGCCCCTTCTCTACTGAATACCACCAGGACTTGGCCTGCCTCTCAGAGATGGAAGAGAAATTCTTTCCAGCACATTAAAATGTGCCATGGGAACTCAATAGCTCAAGGCATGGTAGGGAAGAATGGCGACAGGCTTTTTTTTCCTAGAGGGAAATGGCCTGATTCTTCATAGAGGAATGGCTGAAGAGCTTTTTTAGTAGCACTGAACAGCTGAAATCCCCTGCTTGTGAAAAAAGCTTTTGTAAGTGTGTGTTAGGAACTAGCTTCTAAAGCTTTCAGCTACGCATCCCACAAATCTCTTGCCCTTCTGGATACTTCAAAACGTGCACAGCATAGGCATGGGCTTTGAATCGAAAGCATGAAAGGAGAGCAATCAAAAGAACAAATGTTATGCAGTATGGATGGTTTAAAAGGCAGTTTTTAGTTCAATTTGCTGTAGTTCAGTGAGTGTAAGTCAAAAGTGGAGCTTTCACTTTTTAATAAAAAATCACTATGATACAAAAATGTCCCATCAAGCTCAGTATTCAGGTGCTGCCACGTATGGCAGATGGTGATGGCACTATCAGTGCTTGATCACCTCAGCTGTGCAGGATGACTGAGGGAAGAGACAGCAGTTAGGGCTGCACTGGAGCAGGGCCGTGCTGGCTCCCTTCCTCCCCCTTCTTGATGATCTCCAAGTCGTCACACTCCTCATAAGTTGGCTCTTCCACGAACTCCCAAATTTCAGCAGAAAGTCTCTCCAGTTTGTGTGCAGGGAACCAGTGGATGGAGGTGTCATTGAAGGTATCCAAGTACCGAGGGTGAGCAGGGAGGGCAACTTCCTCCACCCCTTTTAAAATCTAAGAGCAGTTGGGAAGACATGTACAGAGCAAAAGAACTTTTGTGCAAGCTTATGTGAAGATGGGAGTGTTGTGTTAACTGTACCCCTCTTTGCAGTGTGTTCTGCAGATAATAAAATGGTCCCTGGCTTTAAAAACAACCACCTCCATCTTTGAAGTTGCAATTTATGTTCCTTCTTGTTAAAAGGTGCTGGGTCAACGCAAAACAGTATTGCTGTGTTCTAAAAAGCTTTAGTGCTTCCTACCTTTGCAATGTAAGAGTAATCTCTCTCCAGTATTCTTGACAGCAACCTATAAAAAAAAAAAAGAGGTAAACTAGCATTAGAATCATGACATTCCCATGAAAGGAAGACAGCTTTTCTAAGTGGAAAAGGTAAGAAGTGACTGCTGATGACTGCAACTGTGACAGCAAGCTGAAACTGGGCAAAACATTGAAGACCATATAGAAGTCCCTTGTGGAAGCATTAGAAATAAGTGTCTAAGAAAGCAAGGAGTGGAAAATAATGCTGGAGACGGGTCCTAAGGCTGTACCTACCTCTCCTCAATTCCCTTAAAGCTGTTGCCAATGATGACCATGTTGGACAGAGCACCAACAGACCAGTTCCTCCAGAGCAGGTTGTTGTACAGTGCCTTGCCGCAGTGCACCATGTAGAACAGCGTAGGAGATCCATTTATGCTGTGCTTGCCCTCCTGGGGGGGACAATGTGGTCACAGTGTGGTTATGCGTGGACACAGCTTGGGGCTGGGAATGGGATGGGGTCCTCTTACCTCGTTCTCCGGGAGCAGACGCAGCCCCAGTGCCTCCAGCGCTGCCAGCTCCAGCTCTGAGAAGGCGGGGTCGAAGAGGAAGCAGCGGCTGGGTGGCACCTGCGGGGCACAGACGTGCGTGGGACGGGGACACGCGCGGACAGCGGGACGGGACGCGGGCGGTACACGCACGGTGGCCGCTTACCGCCAGCATCTCGAGCAGCAGCAGCAGGAAGGCGAGCTGCAGCCGGGCGGTGGGGCAAGCAGCGAACCGCCCCAGCCCGTAGCACACGCAGCGCCAAACCAGCCCCGAGCCCAGCGGCTCCCGCACGGCTCCTGCGGGCACGGGGACAGCCGTCAGCCCCCGCCCTCCTCCTCCTCCTCCTCCTCCTCCCGCCGCCGCCCCGCACGCACCGGCGCTCGCCGCCCAGAAGCCGGAGCTCAGCAGCTCGTCCCTGCGGGGGGAAACGCGACCGTCAGCGGGGCTCGGTAGGGGGAAGAGCCGCGCGCGCCGCACTCACCGCGCGTCCTGCAGCCGCCTCAGCACTGCGGCACCGCCATCCTCCTCTTTCTCTTTCGCCCTCCTCCTCCGCCGCCGCCCGCTCGCCGCGCACCACCCGCCCGCCGCCGCCGCCATGCGGCCCCTCCCGGCCACCGTAGGGCCGCGCTCACGTGATCACGCAGCCCTTCTCGGGTCGCCGTAGTTTTGAGGTCACGTGGTGCGGTCATATGATTGGCGGTGCTGCGCGGGAGCGGCTCCTCTCGGCCCCGCGGGCAGAGCAGCGCTCCAGGCCTCAGCTCTCATGGCTCGGCCTCAGCACGGCCCGGCCTCGTGGTGAGCGCTGTGCGGGCGGTCCGGGGAGAGTGCGGGAACGGAGGGGGAGCTGCGTGCTGCCCCCCCACACAGGGCGGCATCCGGGTGGGCCGAGTCTCCCTCAGCCGGGAGCAGCCCGGCCCTGCGGGGTCCGTTTTAATAACGTGACACCATTCTGTGCTGCTTCTCCATCTCGGTGTTTCTGTGAGAACGCCTCGCGTAACGGCCCGTGCTGTACCTGAGGTGACGGGGGGAGAAACGTGGTGCTTTCCAAGCGTTTCAATCATCTCTGCCAATGCTTTGCTGTTCTAGGTGGAATTACTTCTTCCTTTACGATGGCTCCAAGGTTAAGGAGGAGGGGGATCCTACGAGCGCTGGGATTTGTTATTTTTATCCTTCTCAGGTAAGGGCTGTGTTTGTTTTGGTTCCTGTACATGGGTGCCTCTGTGAAAACATGCTGATAATTCTGATTCAGGGTTTCAAGGAGGAACTTTGGCTTAGTTCTCATTCAGTGTTTGTAAAAGCCCTTAGAAACCTCCCAGAGCTGGAGCTGGGTGAGCAGAGCAGCACAGCCTGGAGCTCAGAGCTGCCCATGGCACTACTGAGTGCCCACACTCTGCTCCCATGGGTGCCAGCAGTGCTGAGATTTGCTTCTGCTGCTGCATCTGATGTTGAATTGATGGACATTGTTGTGACTTTTTTTCCTTCCCAGTCCCTTTTATAAGAGAAGACGGTAAATTGTTGTTGCCTCCCTTCCTTGACAGACTCTCCCTGACCAGCAGGAGCTGCTGTGTGGGCAGATTGCTGGAGTGGTGCACTGCATGACTGAGATTTCAGGAGTTCCTCCAAGCCTTATTCGCCTGAGAAAGCTCAAGTTTGCAGTTATCGTGGATGGAGACTACCTCTGGGTGAGTCCTGGGGTCTGGAGGCACTACAGAACTAACGCAGGGAGAAGGTCTGAACTGCTGTATGAAACTAAGAGGGTTTTTTTTTCTTTTCAGGGTATGGGCCTGCTCACAGATAGACCTGGGGAGAGCTAGGGTGTGAACTTGCAATGCACAACTTTTCATTGCAAGGTAACTTAGGTTTTGTTTACCACAGCGTGTAAACACGTGTAAGGGTGATCACTTCAGCTGTTTTTAAAAAAGCTTCACGTACCTCATCTGTGTGTTCACAACCAACGTACGTTCTCAATGTGTGCCTGGCAACATTTATCAAAAGTAGAGGCTTTTGTAGTTATATCCATCTATGGGCTATTGGCAATGACTGGTCAGAAGCCCGTGTGCTGGAGCTTCTGTCTTATAGTAAGGACGTGGTCTCCCCATGTAGAAGTGCTGCTGTTTGACCTTCTAACCCTCAGCATTCCTGCTGCAAGGCTTTGTCAGTGTTAACAGATCTTTAGTGTAAAAAGAGCTATGTGCAGTAAAGTTATGACAAAAGTACCCTAAACCATCCCTGGGAAACTGGACTAAGGCCAGTTGAACCTGTTTAACTGGTAGTGCTATTCAGCTTACTTAGCACTGAGCTAGGTCATCTGACATGTGATGGAAGAGGAGGGTGTGTAAAAACACTGGACTGCCAGCTTCTTTCACTCATCTTGTCTGTGCCAGAGCTCTCCTGTGGGTATTTTTGGATTTCCTTTTCATTTGACTTGTGAACCTGGGGATTGTTTGCCTGCTACAAAACTGCTTGTGTACCTTTGATACTCATTTGAAAGCAGTATGAGTTGTTCTCATCTGTTGTCTGTGGGTTTTCCCACTGAGTGCTCATCATTCAATGCTTTCTGCATTAAAGGTGCTGGGCTGTGCTGTTGATCTCCCTGATATCAGCTGTAGACGGTTTCTGGAGCAGTTGATCAGCCTCTTCACATTCTACAATGGACCTGTGCATCAAGCTTACATGGTAACTAAAGATCAGCAGCTGTAATATTTGTGGTTAGGAGGAGATCTCTGACTCTTTCTATATTGGCCAAGCTCTGTCCTCATACAGACCTACTGTTGTGTTCCCTTACACTGTCTTCCTACTTGTAAGGATCAAACTAAGCTCACACTTTTCACATCGTAATCTTTGGATGTGTACAAACCCATCCTCCTATTCCACTAAAGCTGTGTAAATGCTTGCAAGATGTTTACTAGGTGTTCATAAGGTAGTTTTCTCCCCACGTTGTCTTCCTCCTGATGCTCATAAGCTTTGCCATTTGTAAATACTTTCCCAGGCTGATTACATGTAGCCACTGTGAATGCATTGAGAACTGTGAACTGATAGCCATATGGATTTTTGTTGTCCACAGGAGTTTTCTCAGGAGAAACTAAACAGGCTATGGGACAGATACATTGAATATATCCAAAAAAGCACCAATGACCTCCACAAGATTTTCAATTCTCTCTGGAATCTGGACAAAACCAAGGTAAAGTCTGTCTTCTGCAATGCACAGCTCTATCAACGCCTTAGTGCCAATATTTCTGTTTTTTTTGTTTGTTTGTTTTGCTATTTGAAGTATTTCCAAGAGCTCTCTGGCATAACTTCTGATTCTCTGTGTCTAGGTGGACCCACTGCTTTTACTGAAAGCAGCTCTCATCTTGCAGACTTGCCAGCGGTCTCCCCATGTTTTGGCAGGCTGCATTATCTACAAAGGCTTGTAAGTAACCAGGCATGACCCAGAAATTTAACCTGCATGTTAAATCTGCATATTAGATCTATGCTTTCTCAGTACCATGTTCCCAGAGTGCATCATGCTGTGCTGCTGTTCTGTCTGCATGAGATTTAATTTTTTGTTTTTTAACCACACATTGTCAGTGTTCTCTGGGCCTTACTGCAGTGCTGCAGAGGGCTTTGTGCTTGAGTGAAACTTCCCCTCCTATAGGGCCTTTTGGAGGATCTGCAGAATGTGGATCTCAGCAAGATGCAAGTGTAGCTCTGCTCGTGTATGACTTTGTTTTGTTCTTACAGGATTGTGAGCACCCAGTTGCCACCTCCTCTCACTGCTAAAGTTCTCCTCCAAGGCAGTGAGTCTTCAGTCCAGGTATGTTGCTGAGCATTCTCTGCATGCAAATGTATGCTTGTGTAGATAAACCTGGAACTTGTCACGTAGATTTTGTGCATATTGAGAAGAACATATTGATGCTGATGATTAGAGCTTTTATTAATTAAGATTGAGTAAGGTTTCATGGCACTAGAAATTTTTCTTTCAATCTGAGTTCATGAATTCTCATTTATGTGATGTTTGATTAATGTTTTACCCAAATTTGGGAATTTAGTGTTTAGTATCCAAAATGAGTATCTGAAACTGACAAATAGATCGATTCTCATTGCCCTTTATCACAGGTAATTATTTATAGGGTTCAAGATCTCAAAAAATATCAAGATTGAGCATGAGGAAGGCCTCTCTTCTCCCTCAGGTTGGGAGAACCAAGTTTTTATGCACTCCAGTAGGCAGTAATAAGAGATTATGGTATTTTTCCCAGCTGTATGTTCTTTCTTGGGAAGTCCCTTTGACTTTGAGAACTACTAGGGTACTACTAGTTCATCATTTTCAAGCCTGGTAAACTGATGACCACCAAGGGGGTGATCTAGGCTCTGTAGTCACAAACAGGACCCTCATTGTTCTGTGAGGAGACTGAAAGGGATGTCCTGGGGGCACTGAGCTGATTCTTGACTTTTCTTTCAGAGTGAGCCTGGAGGTGAGGAGCAGCAGGAGCCTGGTGAGCATCCAGCTGCAGAGTGCTGATAGTCAAGCACCCAGCAGTAGTGAATGGCAACCCTCTGGGCTGTGTTCTCTGCAGTGAGAATGTGAGGCAGTTTGCTGGGATTTGTGTCAAAGCTCTTGCTGAATGCATGAGCATATCCCTGGGGGTACTGCTGCTGCTAGTCAGCATGTGCCAGTAGGCGTTGTGTAATCAGAACTAGATCCTTCAGCTAAACAAAGGAGGTTTGCTCTTTTGAGTTTAATTGTGAGTTCTGCAGATGCCCAACATGCCTGCTTTTATTCCAGTTACCCATGTGTCTACTTGGCCACTGATAGAACCCTGAAAACAGATGGCTGATGCTTTCAGTCCAAGCCTTCAGTTGTTGTTTTTGAGCATCGATTAATAAATATTCTGCCAGGACGTGAGAGGGGGAGAAAAAAAGAAAAAGGGAAAAATGTGTCATTTTAGATACTAAGTAGATGAAGAGAACAGGAAATTGCCGCCTAGTCAGACCCAGTCATCTTGTGATGCCCCAGGAAACAGGGTGGAGTTTAGCTTCTGCTCTGTATGATAGGGCATGCTAATGTAATTCTCAGACCTCCATTGCCCTTGCAGATTCTCCATTGCCACAGGGTGTCTGTATCATCCCGGTGTTCCTAACAGAAGATGAAGTCTCAGTGCTCCGAGTGGAGTGGATGAATAGGTAGGAAAGCAGTGTGATGCATAAAGAGGCTTTTAGGACAAGGGGCTACGTGTGGCACTGTATCTTCACAGCCATTGCTGTTGTTTTCTAAAACATTAATTCAGGCTCTAGCATCTGTGTTTTGAAGTTGCCTGAGGTCTTTGAGGCTGGACAGAATTTCAGGTATCCATATGTCTGCTGTGAAGTGGCCTAAAGCAAAACTGTTTTCCAAAACCAACTGTTCTGTTGTTTCTGAATTCACAGTGCTGTTCTATAAGACTTTGTGTGTTGTGAATAAGGGAGTAACATGCCTGGGAGTTTGCAGTGTAAGAGACCCATGCTTTTCACCTGTGTTAGAAAATACCTTGTCTTTTACCAAGGTAGATGTTCTTTTGTAGCTGGAAGTGATAAAAATTATTAGGTATGTAATAAGTCCAAACAGAGTAGTGCAGTAGTTTAATCAATTTGTC